CCGGAGTCTGTGTTAAAACACTGGATATATTAATGATAGTGCCCTTAGACTTAATGAGATGGGGAGCGGCCAGTCGTATAAGCTGTAGGGGCGACCGGACGCCTACACTCTCGAAGGCGTCGAATGTATTCCAGAACTTAGTGTCCGTGAAGTTGGCGAACATGAAGATGTCGGCGTCGTTCACCAGTATATCCAACCCTTTAAACGTATCGATTGTCTCATTCAACAGGTGCTCCAATTGATCACTTTTGGTGATGTCTGCCACCACTTCCAATGCCTTTATAAACAATGACATTATAAATTGATTCATTAAAATAATGATTATCATCTAGCTTGCTTTTAGTTTTTGTGGTGATAATTGTTGCACTTCTTGAGCCACTCTCTTGATCTCAGATGCATTCCTACCGGTGATCACAACACTGGCACCCAATGCAGAGAATAGTTTAACGATTTGCTCGCCAATGCCTGAGTTGGATCCGGTGACCAAGGCTACTTTACCCGTGAAATTGCGTGAATCCCTCACCTCTTGATAGATGTCTTTGGTTTCATTCAATTGGAAAGCATTGGAGAATGCAATCAATGCTAACAAATAAATGGTTAACATTTTATAATTTATTTTTTAATAATTTCTGATTTACAAAACAACTGAGTCTAATAAATAAACAAATAATTCTGATGGACATGTATTTATAGTTTAAACAAATTCACAATTAAAACTATAATTGGTTGTAACATTTAAATATCAATAATTGTACTTATAATCTCATTTTAATCGTATTAATACTGTATAATAAATTATATATTTTTTAAAATGACAAACTTGGGTCAATTAGATAATGTTTAAATCAAATTAAATATCTATATAAAATTAATATTACTAATCATAATTTATTATTACAAGTAATTTTAGACTTGTTTTTTATTATTAATAACTAGCACAGGTAGGAGTTCAGGATTGTTTGTCAATCTATCTGAGATAACAATATACTAATTATACTTTTAATCTTTATGAAAAATATTGAGAGATTATTGGTTCACATATTTGTGTTCACTATACTTCAATGTAAACATTAATACAATTAATTTAGTTTAAGTAAGATCTTTGGATTGATAAAAAATATATTCCCAGTATACTGCACAATGGTATGATTGTGGTTTATAAAATAAAACATTTAAGGTAAAAGAAACTTGTTTAAAAATATTAATAACTATTAAACATGGGCGCGGACTTGATTATTATATCGGAATTAAAGAATATGTTGAATGAGCTTGGCAACCTAGAGGTATGGTATAGCAAAAGTTGATAATAAAAGTTAATTATAAATATTTATGTTATTAAATTAATTTTACAGATAAGTGTTAAATTTAACTAACTTTAAAAATGTAAACTATATTTATAGATAAATCAATCATTATCATCAACAGTTGTGACCACAAACACCACACGTTTAACTATATCTGTGGACAGACCTATCCGGCCGAGGGGTTTGTGAGACCTAGTCTTGATATCTGGAGCTAATGATGGATGCAATACATTGATGTTTTATATCAAATGTTTTTAAAATATAAATGTTTTATTTAAAAATTTCATATACATTTCAATATTATATTTCATTTAATAAAATACAAAAATTTTAATTTTATATACAATATATATTTCAATAATAGTATTAGTATTTGAAAACATTTATGAAAAGACTTTTTATCGGTGTTTGTATTATTAATGCTCTCAATACTTAAGATATAAATTTATAATCATTATTTTCGTTATAAATTTATTGGTTTTCGATTAATTGATTTGTAATTAAAAATTTTAGAATATATAAATATCAATGAGTTGCCATGGTGATTCTGAATTTAATTCACAAATACAAAAGAGCTTTATTAACACATAAGTCTATTAAGCTATAAGTTTAAAACACTTTAAAATTACCAAAATGTTGTTGGATATTATTCGCGAAAACTTTAAACTAACCGTGATTAGGATTCGCACCAAATTGACACTACTCAAATATGTAATCAGTAGCATGATATTGGCATACATCGAAACCAATGGAATGATTAGCCAGCAATTATCCAAAAACGAGAAATATCTAAAATATTTCACCTGTACACTATCCGATTCTATTGACAATTTAATGAGCGGTTATTATTCGATTACTAGATTGATCATGCTGATCATCGGCAAATCAATTGTAGCAATAGCTTTTTTATGGTGCGTTTCATATACCATTATTGATGACCAGGCTATTCGTTCGGTGATGGTCCCTATTGATGTTTATTTAGGCGATAGGTATTTTATTGCTATAGTTGCGGCAATGGCAATTGTATTGCTGATGTTGGTTCATTGGTGCATTTATAACCATCAAATAAACAACATTTTGTTCGTTGCCAATTTCTTTTATTTCTTAAAACATGACATGCTTAAATATACATTAAGTGCTAGCATGGAGAAATCAATTGCCGCTAAGTTGTGCGTAATCTTGCTCCTTTTTAAGGGCGCGTACCTAAGTATGGCACTTCTGCTTGTATTGAGTTTTACGATTGTATTATTATTCCTTTTGGTTAATGACTTTACCATGCTCAATGTGGTGGTATATTTGATTCCATTTATTAGTTTACTACATTCTTCTTACGAAATATTCAGCACAATCGCCACTTATACAGTGGTGGGCTATATATCGACCGCGTATATCATAAGTAAGTTTACCGAGATCAACGATACATTAACCCGGGCTATTAAGCGCCAAAATAAACGACAATTATTTGCCGCTTTTCGTCAACATAATTATTACGAGGTATGGGTTCATAAAATCAACGTCACAGTCAGCGTGGCACTTTTCTTTCTTATTAACATTGGGTCGTATATTGGATTATTATTGTTATATGGGTTACACAAAAATAACGTAACTTTTTTTATACGTACTTTATGCGCAATTGCACTTTGCACAAATTGTTTCTTCATTTTTTCTGGATGTGCCATGCTCACATTTCTGCCAAAAGCGGCCCATAAACCATACCCACAATTGCTTGCATACCTGTCCGCAAGTGTTAACTTATCTCTTAGCGATAGACTACGGGTGCAGACGTTTATTGAGCGCCTGTCCGTCGGACCTCCAATAGGTTACTATTGTTTGGATTTGTTTCCCATAAATAGCTACGAATTTTTCCAATTGTGTTATTTGGCCTTTGGCAATTATATTCTCATAATTTCCAACTTGTAAATCTAGCCACATGATTATTGGTAACATTATTTTAGTTTGGAGTTGCTATTATTGGCTCATTCAAATTGCATTCATATTATTGTCCGTGTTTTGACATTTTTTCTAAATTTTAGTTTAAAATCATTGGTTACCCCACTCGTTATCACCACATTATTCAGCGTATGATTAGCCTAATAGTTGTTTAATTGGTGACCATTAGCTGACCATTAATATGTCCGGCCGTCCACTCCCGGGGCAGAGGCGGCAACAGTTCCGTGACTTCTTCGTGACTCTGGACCAGCATTTCGGCGACGGCTGCGGTTATACCGAAGTTGCCGTCGATTTGCATCGGAGGGTGTAATCCAAACATATTGGCACAGGTATTACGTGCGGGTGTTCTTGGCATCCCTGAGCCGGGCGTTTAAGGCTGAACGCCACTCCAATCGACCACTCCCTCACATACCTGAACGGGTCTATACCTCTAGCATTAAGTGACACCTTATTATTGTGTTTATTGAATTTAAACACAAACTTGTGAAACACATAATTCAGATATTTTTGACAACTTTTTGGGACAATAAACACCAGATTCATACATAATATTGACTTAGGTCTTGAGGTTAAGCGGTGAAGACATTTTGGACAGGCATTCATTCATATAAACAAAATATACATAATCTTAAAAAAAGTTTTTATATTCTATATTAAAGTATGTTTTCTAAGCTTTCATACGATATATAATATGTTACTGTCTTTGTTTAGGAAAATTATATTGAAATTAAAATTTGTTTTTCGCATTTTTTATGCAACAGACCTTATATTAATAATAGTAATTAATCATAAAAATACTTATTATTAACAAAACAATTTAATTTATTAATTAAACATTAATTTACGTCAATAATCATGAAATATTTAATTATTGTATCACTTTTGCTAGGGGCAGCGAATTGTATGTATCTAGCATATTTTAAATAAATACTAATAAAAATCTACTTAACCTTGTCACATTAATTAATTCTTAATATTAGTATCCGAGTCGACACCTACCGGCGCATGCAATGGCACTTATACAATGGATGAGATTGAAAATGAATTGAAAGTCGTGAAAATAGATGTGAATAATGAACTGGCTAAATTGGACAGGGAGGGTCGGACTGCCGAGGGCTTGGAGTTAATAGCATATATGGAAAGTATTAACGGACTGATTGAGGCAATTGAAATGAGCAAGCCCCCACCCCCACCCGATACACAAAACATGACGTGTCGAGTTAAACATGGTGTTGCCGTTGAGATTGCACGTTTAGAGGGATAATTTAATTGACCACTTGGTGCAATATTTTAAACTTTTAAACTTGCGCAATTTTGTATTACTTACATAAAGATATTCAATGATAAATAAATAATATTTCAAAAAATGATTGTTATATCAGTTATTTGTAAGGTTGGCATTTTTAGTGAAATTTATTTTTAATGTATAAATGCATTGGATATACATAGGTGTGATCCACAAAGTACATACGCACGCCTAGGGGGAGGGGGGTCATTTCAAAATGTTAAACTCCTATGTACGATGGGCGTGTAGGGGGAGGGGGTCAATTTTTTACCAAAATTTTGCGTACGTATTTTATACTCCGATAGAGGGCGACCCTAAGTGAAATATTTCGAAAAATTTGAGTTATATTTATGAAATATTTCACTACGGCCAACCTTAGTTATTTGTTATAATTGGATCGTAAGGCGACCAATGCCTACGCAATATTGCGTAGTATAAGGTGTGTCAGTGCTCATGAAAACGGCGTACAATTGATATGATGGCCCGACTCGTGCACCAGGAGCTCGGTATAGACCCAATAAAATTCAGACTATTTTTCATTCACCTTGATCCTTAAATTGGCAACGTATAATGGAAAAATTGCTACTGACCATAGACTTGAATATATGAGATAACTTAACTAGTTTACTTACGTAAGAAACATGGTTTGAATGTTGAGAATATTTCGTGTTATTGTGGAAATTTATTTTATGATAATAATTATAACTAATAAATAATGGATAAAATACCAATTAAAATATTATCATTCACTTTTTGAAATAATTATCAAATTATTTAAATAAAACTATTTTCCGTTTTCTCATATTATTATAAATTATATATTATTTGTTGTCAATTATAGACATCTCAAGTATTGTAGGCATTCATCCACTTCTTGGCGATAGATTACTACCGGTGACCACACTATTGACCCCTAATATGAAAAACAGTGTTTAAATACTCCATATTAGGGGCCAATGTTGTGAGCACCGGCAGGTTATTAATAATAGATATTAATAGTGCTTCAGTTCAAGAACTTTTCCAATAAATATTTTCAATTAGTTCGCTCTTGATAAATATCCAGTTCATTTATTATAAAATATTCCAATTTCAAATTCAATTACTTCATGAGACATAATTAAAAATTATATGAATTTAATTTTAGAAATGTTTTGTATTTATAGTTCAAGTATTTTTAACGATAAATATGATATGTGTATCAATAAAATTATCTTTTACTAATTAACCAAGCTCTATTATTTAATAAGTTTTATTAATTGCAATTAAATCAAGCCTAATCAGTGTTACACGTGCTTCTATATCAGCTAATAGTGCAGGTTCAATTGGGAATTTAATATGAGGTAAGAATAAAATAGTTTAAAGTTTGTATCATTGATTATTGGTTCACATTTTTTAGTTCAGTATTAAAAAACATAATTACATTGAGATTAGAAGATTGAGTATAAATATAAGAAAAGGTTTGTTAAATATTAATGAGATATAATTTATTATAAATCAATAAACTATTAATAAAAATGTTTGCCTTATATTTGTTGGCATTAATTGCGTTCATAAATGCAAATGAATTTCAATTGATTGAAAACAATGATATCTACGACGAGGTGAGGGATTCACGCAATTTGACGGGAAAAGTAGTTTTGGTGACCGGAAGTAGTTCTGGAATCGGCGAACAAATCGTGAAACTATTCTCGGCATTGGGTGCCAGTGTTGTGGTCACCGGTATTAACGACACTGATATTCAACGTGTGGTTCAGGAAACCCAAGAGTTATCTCCTCATAAACTCAAAGTAAATCACATTTTAAAACAAATACAATACAAATAGAAATGACTTCTAATCCAATAGCCATTGGGAGTGACGGCAGACTTGACTAAAATGGCGGAATTGGATCACCTCTTGGACGAGACCATCAAAACGTTTGGCAAATTGGATGTATTGGTGAACAACGCGGGTCT